GTTTAAGCACCAATGAGGACATTTTTAAGTGATGAATAGAGCCTCTGTACACTAGTTCCAATTCACCTATTGTAATGCATTACGTACTCGTATATTCAACTAACCTTTGTAAATAAACTTAGGTTCACAATTCAAAGGTGTTTGATATCACTCCAAGATTCTACACAAATTTCAAGTTTATGTCATTCAAGTTTCTACTTGCGTACTTTTGGAAGATGCTAAATTGTGGTCCAGATGGTTTTTATTGAAATGGTGGGAAAATAAAATCACTAAAGCAATACTATTTGTTACATTTAAAAGCATATTTTCCATCTCCTTTCCTTATTGCCTTCCCCCTTTTAAATAACTGTAAAGCAATTTGAATTTCCATATTTCATGCAGCATCAAGAGCATGATGAACACCTCTAACAAATGCATCCTTATCTTTTTTACAGTATCACTATGAGAATAGTTCTTCCCGTGTTTATAATAATGAGATTCCCTTAGGTAACGGCAGTTTTACTTTCTGGAAAAACTTAAATAACAAGCTGAATTTATCTCCTCTTACTTTATTATCTCATAGTACTAATTAGGAACAAATAAGTTAGCTATTTTATGCAGAAATTTAGATCAAAATGGCATGCAGACCCTTTATGTCTATATTGTGTCACATAAGAGAAATGGTTTAAATAGAGATCAATACTTGATAATTACATATTTTGTAATAGTGCCTTTTAATGATAAAAACAATTCCATGTTATCAGTTGACTTTTATATAATGCTCGTTTTACTTAAATTGTCAATACAACGGATAAAAGAATTTTTAAGTATTGTACATACGCAAAAGGTATCAAAATAACTACCACTTATATATATCTTTATAATTTATAATATACCTTTCACATATATTATCTCATTTAAACCTTACAGCTCATCCTGTGAAATAGTTTTATTATCTCATTTTATGTCAGAGGAAATTAAGCTTCAGGATATTAAGTGATATATTCACTCAGCTAATAAATGGTAGAGCCATTTAAGTTTAGTCATTTGCTCCAAATCTTTCATAATATACTCCCCATTTTCCTCCAAATGTGTGAGAGGGTCTATACATTTCAGTCATATAATGTCTACTAACCAAGAAATTATTTATAAAATAAAACTCACTCCAGAGTGAGTTTCACTCATTATTTCCCACAACTCCAAACTGGCATTTTAAAGCAACTGTCAAGTCCAGAAAAAGAAAAGAAACCTAACTCACAGATTGAGCCAAAGCATACACACACGTTATAATCTCAAGTACAGTAGTCATTTCTCATCCACGGTTTCAGTTACCTGCAGTCAACTGCAGTCCAAAAATATTAAACGGAAAATTCCAGGAATACACAATTCACAAGTTTTAAATGTGCCTTTCTAAGTAGCGTGATGAAATCTCGTGCTGTCCTGCTCCATTCGGCCTGGATGTGACTCCTCCCCTTGTCCAGCATCTCCGAGCTGCGTCTGCTGCCTGCCCGTTAGTCACTTAGTAGCCCTCTCAGTTATTAGATCCACTGCCATGGTCACGCAGGGCTTGTGTTCCAGGGGCTTTTATTTTCCTTAACAATGGCCGCAAAGCTCAAGAGTAGTGATACTGGCAAAGGTACACCAAAGAGAAGCTGTAAAGTGCTTCCTTTAGGTGAAAAGGTGTGTATGAACAGGAAAAACATAGTATACATAGGGTTTAGAGGATCCACAGTTTTGGGCATCTACTGATGGTCACGGAGTGTATCTCCCTATGGATAAGGGGTTCTACTACATAGTATTTCTGATGTACTCAAATACCCAAGTTCTTTCTTTGCTTATTTCTGCCTTTTCTCAAGTCTTTATCTTTTCTACTCTCTTCCTCTTCCCTCTCAACCCCTTAACTTCACAAACTCCGGGTATGACTGACTATAGGGGAAGATACCAACATTAGAAGGCATGAGTCTCACCCTTCTTTTCTCCATCTGAGAGATGTAAAAGGCACTGTCTTAATATTCTCCAATGTATAGAAAGTAAACCAAAGGCAAAACATTTCTCTAATCTTAACTTTCTTCTAAAAATTTATTGGGGAAGAGGTAGAGAGACTAAGAACAAAGTGTAAGTAGTTCATCCATTTAATTTATGTTGTAACAGCACAATTGGATAAAATACAAGTAATTGACACACACACATCGAAGTCCAGAACAAGTGATGAATTTGTTCAGACATAAAAATATCTAAAAGCGTAAATTTGTATTTTATGAATCATATATTTTACAACAAGGAATATTAAGATCCTTTCCTTAATTATTTTAAGTTACAAGATTTCAAAAGAAATAATTTACAATTTATTTTAACCTTGTAAAAGATTAACAGGACATAAACTCTAACTACATTTAAATTCTGCCAGAATAAGGAAACTGTGATTCAAAAAGATTCAGTCACATAAAACACAGGATTGGATTATTGTGAGGTTAAGAAAATGATAAACACGAGCTTAGACAACTAGCTGCCCAAGAGTGCCTGTGCGATCTAGCGCCGTTCTGGCCAGGCTGCAGTTTGGCACCACCTGGTGGCCACTGTTGATGCTGGCTTCACAATCTATGGGTCGTTCTGGACCCTGTGGCCGGCTGGCTGGGCTTCCAGGACAGCAGCCCTAATCCCAGGAAACTCCTGATTAGGCGGTATCCATTTTGATGCAGGTATGGCGGTGGAACAGTAGGGAAAAGGAAACCTGCTTTCAGAGTCCCAGCTTCCAGAAATGGTTCTGTCGGCTGTTTCCCACCCTACGTCTGCCAACCATCTTAGAGAATCGGGGCTAATTTATCTAAATTTATGTTACCATGGGATGCATTTAAAAAGATTAAAAAAACCCCAAAAAACAACAACAGCAGCAATAATAAAAACTAAAAAATCAGAAAATTTTCAAAATGAATACATACCAAAGTTTATGTGCCTATGTGGAGTGTTTGGAAATAATCATGCACGTTATCACAGAAATAATTCCGTAAATTTTAAGGGTATTAAGTTGGTCAATAAAAACCTATAAAATCCATAACAGAATTGAGCCACTGGACTAAAAGTACGTATTTGTAGAACAGGAATAATATCACCTATGCCATAGGACTATCTCATGTCCAGAGCTTTCTCCTGAGATTCAGAACCTTATACAGTCAACTTTTCTCTTTGCAGATCTCATACTTCAAATGAAACTAAACTAAATGTACCATGTTTTCCGAATAAAGTCTTGTCTTTTTCTAATGTTTTAAAAACTGCATCACCATCCACGCAACTGCTCAATAGGGAAACCTGGTGATGATGAATAGTAACTAGATTTTTGGGGGTGATCACTTTGTAGTGCATATAGATGTCCAATTATAATGTTGTACACCTGCAACTTAATATAATTAAAAGAAAGGAGGGAGAAAGAAAGAGAGGGAGAGAAGAAGGGAGGAGGATGGAAGGAAGGAAGGAAGGATGGACTTGGTGATATCCTTAACTTCATATCGCTCCTCAATCCAGTGTAGTCACTGATTCCTGTTGGTTCTACCTCCTGTACGTTTTTCCAATCTGGCCCATCTCTCTCCATCTCCACTGCTACTAATCCAGTTCCATCATCACTTCTCATTTTGATAACAGAAACAACCTCTAAAAGTGGCCTGTCTATAGCCTTATACTCCTCCAATCTATTCTCCATGTTGCAGAGTGCTCTTGTTATATAAAATCAGATCATGCCATGCATATTCTTAAAATTTTTTAGTCATTCCCCACTGGCTTATTTAATAGTCCAACTGCATGATTTGGACCCGTTTCCTCTTCTGTTTCATGTCTCACAACTCCCTGTCTCTCAGTCTACACTCTAGCCCTACTGAACTATTTTCACAGTTTGTTCAAAAAGCTTCATTTTTGTCTTGCCACTAACATTTTTATGCATGCTGTGAATTCATCCCCTAAATTTGGTTCCCTCCCCTAACTCACAGTCTTATTCTAGTCATCATGTTAGCATGGGTATTTCTCCCCACATGAAGCTTCCCTGATTCCTCCCAAAGCTGGGTTAGATGCACCTTGAGTCTCTATATGGTCTCATCTTGTGTATCCTGCTATTTTCTCCAATGTCATCATACTTACCATTTTTTTCTTTGTCTCCATTAGACTACCAGTTTTGTGAAGGCAGAGGCCACAACTGTATCTATGGTATCTAGCAATGTGCCTGGCACATGCTGGGTCTCAATAAATATTTGCAAAATAAGTGAATTTATTGCTCTGAGAGCTCAAATGTAAAATTCTCTAACATCAACCTTAGTCTGATTTAAAGTCTTGCTTGTTGGCAAAGATTAAAATACCATATACTCAAATTAGTGCTGACAAACTAGTATGACAATTAAGTCAATTTCCAAATAATTTCCCCCTAAAATATAAACTTTCAAAAGCCATATGAACTATAATGATGGTATGTAAAAATAACTGCTATTGAAATAAGAAGCATTTGCTTTCCCCTAACACTGTCAATCACTAAAGGAACCTAATACATACTGATCTGAAAGTAACTGCATGAATAAAAATAATCCTTCAAGATTATCTTACATGATGTCTTCAAGGCCAACAGCTAAATGAGGCACGTGAAATATTTCATATTATTATTCTAGTTTTGTAAAATTTCCTGGAGATTTAGGTATGGTTACAGGAAACTACTGATACCTGATAGTACTCTCTAAATTCCTTTCATCTCTGTCCTCAATCTGAACTGAAGTAAAGGTAAAAAGACAACTGACCAGGGAAATAAAGGGATAATGGGAATACCAGAGTCAAGAAGCCTAAGGTTCTAAAACCTATTCTAAGCCAGTTATCAAAGAATTTAGAACTTTAATGTTCCATTATATTTAGATTTATGACAAACTTTCTTTAATGTATTAAAAATACATTATGACACAGAAATAAAGTTTAGTTTTGATAAATCTATAAACTTCAAATAAAGAGAAATAATATATCACACAAATTTCCTACTTTTTTTTTTTTTTTTTTACCTGTTCTCCCGTTCATACATTTCCCTAGAGGCACTTCGAAGTTGATCAATTTCTTGATTAGTTTTCAACTTGATTCGTTCCAGTTCATCACATAGTTTATTTTCATATTCTGTTTTATAATGGTCTCTGCAAGGAGTCAAAAATAATAGCCATGAATATATATATTTTTTCTGGTAAAAGAAATAGGTTTTTGGCCTTCATGTAAGATTTTAATATCGTATGTCAAATATGCTCTAAATACAATGTTACTTAAAAAACATTGCTATTAGATATAAAGTTTTATAATTCCTAAAAATACTGTTCCAAACTAGTTCCATCTAAGACTTCTTTTATAAGCATATTGCTCTTAAGGATTGATTACTACATAAAATGTCAGTTAACACATGCTGAACAATTATTATTCTTCAAAAATATTTTACTAATAGTTTTTTTTTTTTATTGGGGAATTGGGGAGGGGAACAGTGTTGGGGAACTGGGGAAGGGGAACATTGTGTTTTTCTAGGACCCATCAGCTCTAAGTCAAGTTGTTGTCCTTCAATCTTAGTTGTGGAGGGTGCAAGCTCAGCTCTAAGTACAGTCGCCGCTTTCAATCTAGTTGTAGGGGAGTGTAGTCCACCATCCCATGAGGGAGTCGTACCGGCAACCTTGTTGCACACTGAGCCACCCTACCGACTGTCAGCAGCTCGCGGCTGTTCAGCTCAAGGTGCCATGTTCAATCTTAGTTGTGGGGGTGGGGGTGCAGCCCACCATCCCATGCAGGAGTCAAACCAGCAACCTTGTTAAAAGCATGCACAGTCACCAGCTCAGCAGCAGCTCAGCTTACATGCAGCTCACTGGCCAATGTGGGAATCGAACCAGTGACCCTGTTGCTCAGGGCTCGCGGGCTAACCAACTGAGTCACTCAGCTAACCCCTACAAATAGTTTTTAATGCAAATGGTCAGAGATTTGAAACCTGATGCACATGGAATGTCCTTCATTTAGAAATATAATCTGGATTGGTGCAGGCTAACAGACAAATAATATTAAAAAAAAAAATGACTTTCATTGACCCTTTACAAAACCCTTCCTTCTAAGCACCAATAACCATAGCCATTCTGATCTCTTAGCAAAGTCACAAAGCATTAGAGATGGTATTAACAGAAGCATAAACTGATGAAAAATATCATAGGCTAGGAAAAAAGTTATGAATGTGTGAAGTCTGAAAGGAAAAATTTAGACTTTGTTTTAGTTTTTGATGTGCTGCTAAAATATAGATAACTTAAGGGTTATAAGGGCCATTAGTATAAAGAAATTGGAATAGTTTGTACATCTAGTTGAAGAGAGGAGACAGAATTGAAATGCAGGAGTCTGATTCCAGAACCTGTACTTAAAACAGTATGCAGAGCTGTCTCCTTATTCTTCTTGTGTGTTTCACAGAGTCAGGAAAAGGTCAGCTTAGTTATTAAGCTCCACATGATGAGGTTAGGTTTTCTTTGAAAAGATACTTCTCGAGACACTTATATACTTTCTTTCAAAAATACTTATACCGAAATCTTAGTCATAAGGAATTTAAAAAGTTATGTTGTAAGAAAAATAAACAAATACATGTATGTACCCTTACCTGAAAGAAATAGGCTTTTGGTTGTTGGATAAACCACAATGTTTCTTAAGAAAAAAATCAATTAGAATAAGAATATCTTATAAGGAAACAAAATGAATTATTATTTTATCATCTTATACAGGTTAAAAAAAATCACTGTTTTGGGCTGGCCGAGTGGTGCAATGGTTAAGAACTGGCTTGGGACGCCAGAGGGCCCCGGTTCGGATCCCACATATGAGGGCCAGTGACACTGCCCCCCACAGCTAAGATGCTGAACAACAGCTCAACCTGGAGCTGGGCTGCTGTGAGTCGCCGGTGACGGCGTAGGCTGCAGCCCCTGCTGCAGTGGGTTGCCATGGGCTACCGTATGTAGCCAGCAGCCAGCGTGAGCGGCCAGCAGCCGCAGTGAGCGGCCGTCCAGAAGCTGGCGACTGATGTGCCTCGCCCGGGAAGAGCGCAATGATGGTGCCAAACTGGGCCAGTGAAGCAACGTCCTCTACAACTAGACTGAAGAACAAAAAACGACAGCAACTTGTCTGTTCCCCTTCCCCCAATTCCCCAGCACTGTTTCCAATTCCCTAATAAAAAAATCTTAAAAAAAAAAAAAAAATCACTGTTCTTCTCCAAAGCCAAGAGTTCCCTCAAAGAAGCTGGTGTGAATCTCTCTCTCTTTATAAGGAGAATAATAAGAACTTGCCTGGATATTACGTATTTTTCATACATCTCTTCTCTAGCCTTTTTGGTTTCCTCAAGTTGAGCCTGAAGTCTTTCAAGGCGATCCTCTTCGTGCGCACAGCGAACACTAAGCTCCATGTTTTGGCGGTTGAGGTATTCTTTATCCTTTTGCAGTAAAGTAACTGTCTGCTGTAAGGTGGCCACCTACACATGTGCAGAAACAGAGCAGTGTAGTTTTACTTTTGAAGGTTTACTGTATTTGTTCTCTTTTGTGCTTTTGCTCACCACATACAAAGGGCTAATTCTTACCTTGCAATTTTTCATCCAAACACAGCTACTAAAAGACCTTCTTTTTGGCAACTATATCAAAAAGGAAATAATGTCCCTCCCGCAAGTCTGCCCTGGGCTATGTCCCACCATCACTGTACAATAAAATACAAGTAACGCTATAAGCTTACCTCTTTTGATAATTCACTTCTGTCTTTAGCTTGAATTATGTGAGAGGCTTCAAGAACTTCATGTTTTCTCCTTAATCCACTTACTTCTTGTTCAAGTGCATCACGTTCACTAAAAAATTCAAATACATTTATTTATTTCTTTTTACTAAAATAAAATTCAAATACATCTGTAAATTGTATATGCCTTCCAGAACTGAAGAGAGGTGTTAGCAGTGGGGCATTAGTGTCATTCTATATAGAATAAAGTGACTGCTTTTTAAATTTACAGGGACCTTGTTCAGATCCATACATATGAATTTATCATCTTTAAAAAATAAATATGTAAACTACACTACTCAGTAAATAGTAAAACCTTCTAAGGTACACTCTGGTATCTTTTCACTAATCATCTTCAGTCTTATCGTGAAGCCAAAAGTTTTAAAGAATTTATACATGGCTCTAGGTTTTCAGTTCAGTGCCAGAAGGCCTTAACTCATCACTCAGATTGCATAGCAGATACACGGGTAGGCATGCCCGTGACGCTCTCATTCACAAATTGTTTACAATCATCCAGAGATTCTAATTTCCATATACTTTCTCCCAAATAGTAAAACCAAGAATTGCACCAAACTTACAACGGACTTCTTAAAAAGTGAGCAGAGGAATAAATTTACTCTACTTATCCTCCCCCATCAGAATCAGTTCTTTTGCACCTTATTTCATCTCCCCAACTGGGATTTTCACAGAGAGGGCTGTTAAGAATTGTTTTTCTTTTCATTAGATTTTCAATAACCCAGAAACTGATTTTTTTTTTCCCTTCTGGTAAACAAAGTACTATGTTTACTGAACTGAGCAAAGCACAAGCACAAGTTAAAAACATAACAACCATCCATATACCTACTAACTAAAGATGACTTTCAGTATTAATATTTTGGTACATAGTAGTTTAAGTATTTTAGGCTTTTACATGCAAATGTTTTTATTTTCACAAGGTTATAATCATGTTCCTTTTGGTATTTTTTTTAATGTAAAAAATGATTATACAGCATGATATAGCAAAACATCCATACACTTGCTATCCACAGCTGACAACAGTTAACATTTGTCTATACTTGCATTAAAGTTTTGCTTTTTAAAAAAGACAGAACACTATGAATAAATTTGAAGATCCCTATATTTTCCTCACTGTTCCTATATCAGCCCCTAGGTACAATTAATTTAGTATTTCTACATGTTTTTTGTACATACTTTTATTCAATAACAGTTAACATTTTTGTCATATTTACTTTATATTATTTACAAATATTATTTTGTCACATTTTCTCCCTGTTCACATATGCAAATGTGTATACACACACACACACACACACATACATGTATACACATCTACACACACACACACAAAATGTGCATTATCCCCCCAACTATTTAAGAGTTATATTTACATATTAGGTCCCTTTATCCCTAAATAATTCACTGTGAATTTCCTAAGATTAGAGGTACTCTCTTATATAATCAAAGTATAATTACCAAATTCAAGAGACTTACCCTAGTACAATATCTAATATATAATCCAGTTTCAAATCTTTGTCAATTGTCTCAAAAATATCTTCTATGGAATTTTTTTCCCTGGTCCAAGGTCCAATGTATTATCATGCATCGCATCTGGATGTCTTATGTCTTTAGTCTCCTTTAACTTTGAACAGTTCCTTAGCCTTTTTTGGTCTTTTATGACATTGACTTTTTGTAGCACACAGGCCAACTGTTTTATGGAATGTTGTCCAATTTTCATTTGTCTAATGTTATCCTATGATTAGATCTGGGTTAAACACTCTGGGCAGGAATATCACGTAAGTGATAATGTATTCTCAGTACACCACATAAAAAGGCACATGATGTTACCTTATCCTACGATTGGTGATAGTAACTTAGATCCATTTGCTCAAGGTGGTATCTGCCAAAATTCTCAACTGTAAAGGTACCTTTTTGCCCTTCGCAATTAATAAGCAATCTGTGGGGGCATACTTTAAAATTGTATAAATATTCTGTTCCCTAACATACTTTTACCCAACGGTTTTAGCTTCCATTGAAGATTCGGAATCATAGTCTTTGACGTTAGAAAATGGTAATTCTAATATGCATATATATTTATTGGTTGGCAGTCTCTACTGTAAAGATCCTCTTCCTCTATTATGAGCATGTTCTCAGGGATTCTTATTCTATTCAATGGATTAATTCATTTTTGTTAACATTCATTTTGATATTTAAAGTTGCACCATATTTGTCCGGTTGTAGCCCCTTCAAACTAGCTATCGGGGTGCTGAACTGGTGTGAAGGGTATCAGAATGATCCTATCCACGGTTTGTGAAGCCATCTTTTCTCTTCCCTCTGCATCGCCTCTGCCTACTGAGAGGGCCTAGAAACAATGAGCAGTGTAGCAATGACCAGTTAGTTTCTGAGTAGTATTTCTGAGTAGTGGGGAATAATCCCCACAAATTTTAATTTCTGAATAGTATTCCCCTTTAAAAGGAACCAAGACTCCTAAGACAAAGGGCTGAGGCAGTGAAATTACAAAGTAAACCTGCCATTATATTATGTCAGAAACTAAGAAACTGCTTAAAAACAAAACAGGCCCATGCATTTTACTTTTTAAAATTTAATATTATGTATCTGATTTACCTATATAGATAAGTTCAGGTCTATTAGAATTTACTAATTTTAACTGTTAAATAGAATCACATTGTAGAAATAAATCACAAGTTACTTCCCATTTTGCTGTTACAAAGCATTTAAATTCTTTCTAGTTATGAATCAATTAACATCCATACTTGTTTCCTTTTGCATATTTGTGAGAATTTATGAAGGATATAAAAGTGATTTTTTCCCCCCAGTTTAACTTATATTTTTGTGAACAGAGCATTTCGCGTTAAATCCATTCTTTCCATTCAGTGAACCTATTGCTTATTTTCTGTTCGTTTCTAGTACATGAAGATATTTATCAATGTCTTTGTTCGAGGCTATGTTTTTTTCTTTCCTTGGTTTTTATTGTAGAAATCACACATGCGCGTGCGCGATATCATGAATACCCATGATCTTATCACTTGGCTTCAGTAATTATCAACTTGTGGCTCAACTTGGTTCATTTATCTTTCATTTTGGGCCACTGTGGATTATTTTGATGATTATGCTTTTTAGTTTTCTCTTTTCATATTTTATCTATTATTGCTTAAGATTTATACTTGTAGAGAAGATATCAAAACACTAACTCAAAGTATCATTTTACCATCACAATCTACTTCATTTTGAAAATGATTCTTTTGAAATTTAGCTTTATTCAACAGTCTACTGAGTATAGCTCTCATGGATTTCAAGCTCCAATAATTACTATATTTTCACATAACAATACCTACAAAATACATACCGCATATATAGTAGTGAACAATTAGGGTAATTTCTCTCTTTCTCTCTCTATGCATATTTATAAATAAAGACTTTCATAAACAGTCCTTTATTTCATTTTTTTTGGTGTATACAATGTAGTTATTTGTCTTAGCAACATCTCAGAGATGAGAAAAACTTAGCTTAGAATGGTAAGAGGTTTACCTAGGGACATATAGGCCAAGTGGTGGTTCGTTAATGTACAATAGAAAAGTATATTCCAGGAAAAGTAAAGTTATTTGTAATAGCTACTAAGTAGAAACGCACTGGGCAATATATTCTCAGTGTTATTTTTTTGAAAGTATGTATGCCTTTAGTCACAAAGAATAGCTGAAAAAACTTCTGATAAAAAACCATGAAGTATTTAAACTGATTTCATAAAATAAAAATAAGCATCAAGTAAAATTTTAAGAATATTTGTATACATGGGATTTTACTGAGTCCCTAACTTCCAAGATTTACATTTTAAAAGACAGCAGCAACTTCTAAATAAAATAAAAACTGATATAAAGATACAATTTAAACTCAACAAAATGCCAAAACTACATACTTTTATGTAATGAAGAATAAGGTATATGTCAGCAGAATGAAAAGATAAACCACAGACTGGAAGAAAATATTTGTCAAAGACATATCTGATAAAGGAGTGTTATCCAAAACTTACAAAGAACTCCTAAAACTTGACATAAGAAAACAAACAACACAATTAAAAATGAGCCAAGGACCTTAACAGACTCCTTACCAGAGAAGAAATACAGATGGCAAATAAGCACATGAAAAGATGCTCCAAATCTTATACCATCAGAGAAACACAAAATTAAAGTAACAATTAGTTACTCCTAAACACCTATTAGAATGGCCAAAATATAAAACACTGACAACACCAAATACAAAACATAATCTTACCATCTGATTGTGCTTTTTGGCATTTACCCAAAGGAGTTGAAAACTTATGTCCATACAAAAACTGGTGCATGGATGTTTACAGCAGGATTATTCATAACTGCTAAAACTTGGAAGCAACCAAGATGTCCTTCAGTAGATGAATGGATAAATAAACTGTGGAATGTCTAGACAATGGAATACTATCCAGTGCTAAAAAGAAATGAGCTGTCAAGCCATGAAAAAATATGGAGGAAACGTAAATGTTTATATCACTAAGTGAAAGAGGCCAATCTGAAGAAGCTCTATACTGTATGGCCCCAACTATATGACATTCTGGAAAAGTCACAACTGTGGAGACAGAAAAAGGATAAGGTATAGTCATAGGCCACATAATGACATTTTGGTCCATAACAGATCGCATATACGATGGTGATCCTGTGAGACGATTATGGAGCTGGAAAATTCCTACTGTTTAGGGACATCATAGCCGTACATCATAATGTGATGCATTGCGTGTTTGCAGTGATGCTGGTGGAAACAAATCTACTGCACTGCCAGCTGTATGTAATTATAGCACATACAATTACAGCAGTGGGCTATACCATCTTGGTTTGTGTAAGGGCACTCTATGGTTTCATAAGGATGAAATTGCCTACAGACATATTTCTCAGAAGGTGCCCCTGTTGCTAAGCGGCAAATGACTGTACAAAGTAGAATTGACAATGTTGATTCTAAAAATTCAGGTGACTTTGATGCATGCCCCAAATGAGAAAATCTACTGTAGCCATCTTAACTGCTTGCTTACCTTTTGACTTTATCGTAGTTCTCTTGACGGTAGTCACCTTGCTGAATTAACTGTTTGGTGTCTGCTAATTCTAAGGCCAAACGTTGACATCTAATTTGAATCTCAGAGTAGTTTCTTCGATCTTCCTCATAACTCTATAAATCAAAACAATAAAACATTTCAAACTAAATACACTTAACCAAATTCTGTATTCAAATTCTTCTGTTAAGCTGTGAATGTCCTTGTAATTTAAAAAAATCCTCAATTTTTCTATTTAGTAATTTTTTCTACTCAAAGACAGGTAATCTTTAAACTCAGAGAGTAGTTTGTAAGTTCATTTGTTTAAAACTTGAGCTCTGTTTTTCATAGAAAAAAAAAAAACCAGTACAGCCATGCTTTGGTTACTAGAATAATAAATAACATGACTACTAATGTTAAAGGTGTTTTTCAATGTTTACCGAGTTACTATTAGATGCTAAAGACATGGGAATAAATAAAACATAGCCCCTGTTCTTGAGGAACTTCACAATTTAGAGATGTAGAGCCACATGAAGATCAAGTATCTTCAATGAAATATAGTTAGTGAAGAAATTAATTATGCACTTTCAGTGGCAGTATTGAGCAAAAAAGAATTTTGTGGCACTCGGAACATATGTGTACACTGATCTTCCCTCCATCCACCAGGCCAGTAAAAAGGGATTACAGAGCTATGGGAGAGGTGTAGAAGCAAACATCCTGAAACCACAACCCGGCCTTGCTCACTACGAGCCTTGTTTCTCACCATTTCTCATGTTCACACTTCACCCCTCAACTCTAATGAAGACCTGGGGTTCTCTAAACGCACCAAGATTGCTCTAACTTGTCCTCACTGTCTAAATAGCTGCACAGTATCTGAACATTTGCCTCCTTCAGAGCACCAATCTCACTGTATCATCAAATCAATTTTCTATATACCTCACCAGAGTGTAAGCATCTTAAGGGCAGGGACTCTGTCTTAGACACCATTGGATCTCCATCATTTTACACAGTTCTTGGTATACAGTAAGAATGAAATAAATGCTTTTGAAGAATATAAGAAATAAATGAATATGGAAATGGGGAGAAGCATGACACAAGGACGGAGTTCCTACTTATTTCCCCCCTTTGAACTTACCAGATCTTGCAAGCAACCGTCAACTCCACCCCAAAACCTGTCATGTTGAATACATCCTGTCCCAAGTCATTCCTTCTTAAGTAGCTAACCAGCTAAGTGTGGCCACATCCATTCCACAAATACTGATTGAATTATTTCTATGTGACTGGTCCTGTGCTAGACACTGCTCAAAGATGAGTAAGATGCTGTTTTTGTCCTTTTTAAACTAATAAACACAACTTTGAAATGTCAGCCCCCCAATTTCTACTGAAGGGCTGTTTGAGAAATGTAATTATGGAAAAACTATATTTGATGTGTTTTGCTTTGGTATAGTATTATGTTCTTCTCCTACACCATGAGGACGGAATGTTGCTATGGAATATATTATAGGATCATAGCTGAGGATACTCCATCACCATCTCAAGAAACCATTTTCCTTGCTCATCCATAAGAAGCAACTCCTCATCTGTTCAAGTTTTATCATGAGATTGCAGCAATTCAGTCACATGTCCAGGCTCCACTTCTAATTCTAGTTCTCTTGCTATTTCTACCACATTTGCAGTTCCTCTACTCAAGTCTTGAACCCCTCAAAGTTATCCATTAGGGTTGGAACCAGTTTCTTCCAAACTCCTATTAATACTGATATTTTAACCTCTTCCCATGAATCACGAATGTTCTTTATGACATCTAGACTGGTGAATCCTTTCCAGGTTTTCAAATTACACTGCCCAGTTCTATCAGAGGAATCACTATTTATGGCAGCTATAGTCTTAAAAAATGTATTTTTTAAATAATAAGACTGGAATATTGAAATTTCTCCTTGACCCATAGGTGCAGAATGGATGTTGTGTCCACAAGCATGAAAACAACATTGATCTAATTGTACATCTCCATCAGAGCTCTTGGATGACCAGGTGCATTGTCAGTGAGCAGCAATAATTTGTAAGAAATCTTTTTTCCTAAGCAATAGGTCTCAACGATGGGCTTATAGTACTCAGTAAATCATGTTGTAAACAGATGTGCTTTGTTGTCCTATAGAGCACAGGTGGAGTAGCTTTAGCATAATTCTTAAGGGTTAAGGATTTTCAGAATAGAAAAGGAGCATTGGCTTCAACTTAAGGTCACCAGCTGCATTAGCTCCTAACAAAAGAGTCAGCCTGACCTTTGAAGTTCTGAAGCCAGACACTGACTTCTCCTCTCTAGTCATCATAGTCCCAGATGGCAACTTCTTCTCATATAAGCTGTTTCATCTACATTGAAAATCAGTTGTTTACTGTAGCCACGCTCATTATCTTAGCTTCCACACTTGCTGTTTCACTATGTGCTTTTATGTTATAGAGACGGCTTCTTTCCTTAAACCTCATGGACCACCCTCTGCTAGTTTCACGCTTTCCTTCTGCAGCTTCCTCACCTCTCTCAGCCTTCACAGAATTGAAGAGAGTTAGGGCCTGCTCTGGATTAGGCTCTGACTTAAGGGAATGGTGTGGCTGGTTTGATCTTCTATCCAGACCACTAAAACTTTCTCCACATCAGCAATAAGGCTGTTTTGCTTTCTTATTATTTGTGTTCACTGGTGTGGCACTTTTAATTTCCTTCAAGAACTTTTCCTTTCTGTTTACAACTTGGCTAATTGTTTGGCGCAGAAGCCTAGTTTTCAACCTAGCTCTCAGCTTATGACATGCCTTCCCGACTAAGTTTAATCATTTCTAGCGTTTGATTTACAGTGAGAGAGATGTGCGACTCCTCCTTTCACTTGAACACTTAGAGGTCACTGTAGGGCTATTAATTGGCCTAATTTCAATATTACGTATCAGGAAATAGGGAGGCCCAAGGAGAGGGAGAGAGACGGGGAAGGGGCCAGTTGGTGGAGCAGTCAGAACACACGGGTTTATCAATTAAGTTCACTGTCTTATATGGGAGTCGTTTGTGGCACCCTAAAACAGTTACAATAGTTCTGTAACATCAAAGATCACTTATCACAGGCCACCATAACAAATATCATAATAATGAAAAAGTTTGAAATATTGCAAAAATTACCAAAATGTGACAGAGACATAAAGTGAGCAAATGCTGGTGTAAAAATTGTGCCAATAGACTTGCTTGATTCAGGGTTGCCACAAACCCCAATTTATAAAAAAACAACAACAACGCAGTATCTGCAAAGCACAAAGCAAAACACAATCAAATGAGGTATGCCTGTATTAAAAACTTAAGTTTCAAGTCCTTAGACAGCTTAGCAATTCACTACAATCCACAGAACTCCACCTTACCCTACTGCTTCACATATTTGTATATAGCCACTAAATTTCTAAAAGCATATGATTTTTTCACTCCTTGAAAGCAAAATTCTTCCCATTGTGAACAGTAATAATGAAACACAATAGAACGAGTGCAAATGTAAATATGTTTGTAGGTTTCATGGTAGGAAATTGTGGGAATTTTATCTGAGGGTTTCCATTTTCTCTGTAGAGTGCCAAGGCATCTGCTGAGCAGGAGAAGGAAAGTGGAAATGAGATGAAGGAAAGGAGATGAGAGTGGAATGGTGAATGCCTAAATAACCGCTGTGAAAAATGAGAGGACTAAAAAAAATGAATTTCAGCACAATTGTATGGGTCCATTTGAGGTTGGTAACAATAAACTTACAGTGCTTATTACTAAGTGATTTTCTCCAGTAGTGCTCAGTTGGAAAAATGGTGAGGTTCCGCCAGGTAGGGTTTGATTAAAAGATAGCTGGGAAGGAATCAGAGAATATTAGCAAGGGGAAAGGTTTAAGACTAATAACATGATGAAGGAAGAAAAAAAAACAGGAAAAGATTGATAAATATATGGACTGGAAATTCTATTAAATCGGAAGTAGATGATTGCGAAAAATGGAAAAACTGGAAGTAATAAGTTCAGTGATCAACCTGAATTGATAACTTCAGAAGTGAATCAGCTCTGGGTGACACAGAACAGAATGTGGGCCATGAGACTAAGTGCTAGAGTAGATAAGAAGCAATCACTAAAGTTGAGAAGATTAATAAAATGCAAGGCCAAAATTCTGAATGAATCATAGACGTAATCAAGGCAGGAGCTAAGGTGAAAAGAAGACTAAACCTGGAGCAAGAGTTCCACTAAATAAAGAAGAATAGCCCAGAGGTCTGCAGATGAGGAAGGTTATAAGGTGAGGTATCTAGAGGACATGAATGCCCAAAGAAATGGGGGGTTTTATGAGTGTACAAGTGCCAAGGTTTAAAATTGTAAAGATCTAAGAGATCATCAGCACCTGGACTTCTGGTCCAAAGAGCAATTCCTCGGGAGATATGCGCGTGCGTGCACACACATGTGCATGTACAAACACACACACACACACACACACGTATATCAATTTTCTTTAAATATAAACACGATATGACCAAGTGTTAAGTTGAAGTTAAGTAGTTAAGTACAGGGAGGTATATATTTTACCAACAATTTTCTTTAGAACTTTTCAGATGAAAAATTTCCCATTAAATAAAATTATTACTTTTATATTTTGAAAAAAAGTACTTCACTTACTATTAGCAACTAAAATGGACTACGCAAAACATTGGAAAACAGGAAAAAGTAGCATCTTCCTTCAAAATGAACCAAACCAAATGACTGTGTAGAACTTTTTTTTTTTAAGACTTTATTGTGGAATTAGGGGAGGGGAAACAGCGTTGGAGAATCGGGGAAGGGGAACAGACAAGTTGCTGTCCTTTTGTTCCTCAGTCTAGTTTTGGAGGACGTCACTTCACTAGCCCATGTTGGTATTATCATTGTGCTCTTCCCGGGTGAAGCAGTCGCTTGCCGGCCACTGGACGGCTGCTCACGGTGGCCCAGCTCCAGGTCGAGCTGTTGTTCACCATCTTAGCTGTAGAGGGCAGTGTCACTGGCCCTCGTGGGATCCCAACCGGGGCCTTGATGCTCAGAGCTGGCATCCCAGGCCAACGCTTAACCAGTGCGCCACTCGGCCGGCCCTGACTGTGTAGAACTTTGAGGTTAAGGCTAAAGAGTAGAAAA